GGGGGGGGGGTGGTTGGGGCTGCAAGAAGTGTGACATGTGTGTTGGGCGAGAGGGGACGTAGATCAGGAATTCGGGTTTGCCCATATATTTGAGACACCCAGTGGGAACTGTAACAGCCCTCCAGCTGCTCTTAAGGACTAACTTGCTTCAGTCTTACACACTCCTTGCTTGCTGACCAAAGTTCCCTGGTGTGTAGCAGAACTAACCCACTTGCCTTGAGACCTGCAGACCGCTGGCCTAGAGGAGTGAAGGACGAAGCTTCCCCAGAAGGTAAGTCCTGACTGTATCTCCAAACAGCTGCGGCTGATACCAGCAAGTCTATTCAGGGTCAGGTCCACCTCGGACTAACCGCCAGGGCACCTGCTTCTCCCGCCTGGAGCACCTTCCTCCGTTTCCCAAGTCTTTCCCTTTAAAACCGTCCAGCTTCACCTAGACAGGGAAGATAGTGTTTGGGACATTAGCCCACTGTCTTAGGTTACCAGCTTCTGAATAAAGTAAACTTCCCTTTCCCCCCATTACCTGTCTTTCGAATATTGATTTTCCAGCAGAGTGTAGCCCCACGTGAGCTCAGAACCGGTTCTCTGTGCAGTAACAGAAGGATCTAGTAGGAACTGGGCATACAAGCCTGAATTCAGAGGACAGGTTGGGGAGGGAAATACAAATTTTGGAGTCAGCATACAGACAGTGTTTAAAGCCCCTGGACTGGGTGAGATGATCAAAAGTGAGCTGGGGAGGTGAGGACTTAGAAGTGTCTCCCAACCATTCCTCTGTCTAGAGGTCAAGGTTGAGTGGAGGAATCAGCCAGAGAGATGGAGAGGGGAGATCAGAGAGGAAGGAGAGCAACAAAGAGAGACCAGCATGCTAGAACCCAAGTGGAGAAAGTGTTCTCCAGGATAAAGGAGGATGTTAACAGGTCCAGGGCCTAGGAGCCACCAAGCTCGGTGAGTGCTGACCATTACATTTAGCAGCATGGCAGTCTTCAATGACCTTTACAATCAGTTTTGGTGGGAAAATGAGGATGAAAACTAACTGAAATGGGTATAAGGAAGAAATGGAATTGGAAACAAAGTATTTAGGTAACTCCTTGTAGGTGTTTTGCTGCAGAGGGGAACAAAGAAGTAAAGTGGTTGCTGGTAGGGAAAGTGGGGTAAGAATATTCTAAAACTAGGAAAGTAGCAGGTATGGCGATAGGAATAAGTACAGGATGAAACATTGTCATTTGGGAGGTAGGAGGACTACGGTGCCTTCAGAAAGATACAGCTATTGGCAGAGAATTTCTCTGGCTAGGAGCAAGGCAAGTGCATGGGCAGCAGCTAGCGGGGGGCGGGGGCACGGTGCTGGCGGGCAGACACTCGTGGGGGCCGCAGTGTGTGGGAGTCCTATCTTCAGATTTCTCCTCTTTCTTAGTGAGTTAGAAAGCAAGGTCCTAAGTTGAGAGTGGGAATTGGGGGAAAGAGGTGTTGGAGGTTTGGAGAGACAGGAAATGGTGTGAAATTTTGTCCAGGACAGCAGAGGGTCTGAGGTACAGCCAAGGCGGGGTTAGCATCATAGGGATGCAGATTAAAGATAGGTTAATATTGAGACCAGTCCATTTCACAAAGAACCAGATACAACAGGTGGGTCATTATGCAATTTCCGCAAATGCTTAAATCCGTTGAACTTCCCATTCCTTGCGAAAACGACAAAGCGCAGGAGAACCTGACCGCCTTGCTCCTCCCTGTCCTCCGGCTCTCTCCCTAGGTTAGACTGAGAAACTCTCGCTCGCCCATCAGATGGCGCCGCCGCCCTCAGTGCATCTCCAGGAATATAGGGGGCGCTGTGTACTGGCCACTTTTCCCCCGCCTCGGTGACTCTTGCTTCCGCCTCCGGAGCCCGCCTCGGCTCCCCAGTGCTCAGCTGCGCAGTCGCGGAAACGGGCCTGTGGGGAGCATGGCGGCGTCTTCGAGTGGAGAGAAGGAGAAGGAGCGGCCGGCAGGCGGCTCTGGAGCGGCAGGCGGTAACAGCACGCGAGAGCGGCTCCTGTCTGCGCTGGAAGATCTGGAGGTCTTGTCAAGGTAATGCCGTCGGCCTGAAGGCCTGAGAGGGCTGGGCCCGGAGGACTGACTCTGCATCGTCCAGGCCTGCCGGGGTGTTCGTTCCCGGTTCCCGGGGCTCGGTGGGGAGGCCGCGCTCCCAGAGACGATACACAGGTGTTGGCACTTGAGGTCTGCAACCCTCCGAGACGCCGACATGGGAACCCCCCGCCTTAGAAGACGTTTTAATAATGACAGTGACTCTGGAACCCCGACACGGTCAGAACTGTAGAGGACCTTAGAGATCGCCCGGTGTGAGTACCTTCGTCCACGGACACTCGACAGACACTTAAGGAACTCCCCCTGGGTCCCAAGCGCTGGGAGACTGTAGTGAAGGGGGTGGGGGACTAGGTCCCGACGTAGAGGAGCCCAGTGTCAAGGGGAAGAGACAGACGTAAACAGCGACCGTGGTGCAGAGCCTGTTTTTACAGAGTCGTGCACTGCGGGATACTGGAACCCGAGGACTCAGGGTGCCTGTCATGGTTGTAGTCAGGGTAGGCTTCCTGGAGAAAGGACTGCATGGGAAGAATGAGTTCACTAGACTCAGTAGGCGGCAGGTAGCTGGAACAGCATGTGCAAAAGCCTGGAAGCATGAGCACGCACGACTTGGTGGTGCTTACATACTTGCAAGTTTGGGAGGGCAGGAGTGCAGCGTGTGTGGAAGAGGTAGGAGAAATTGGATGCCTTTCTGCTTAGTCTACCATGGTTCGTGGCTGTTTGTCAAGTTGAAGCCTTCTTTAACTCCCTCACATTCACTTGGATGTTAAAATTGTTTTGATTCTTCCCCCTAAAACCTTGCGCAGATTTGACGTCTTGTTCCCACCCCCACTGTCGTTAACTATTTTTTAATGCAGTCTCCGGAAAGTTTTACTTGTCTTTATGCTTCTGCACTTTATCTTACTGTATTGCCCAGGGTCAGAGCTATCTTTTTAAAAGGCATCTCGTATTACTTTTCTGCTTTGAAATACTTGGTAAGTTCCCACCGCCCGGTGAGGTAGAAACCAAATGTCTAGCTTAGTGTGCCACTTTTCTGTGACTATGTTGACTTCTGAAGAAGTGACACCCCCTTTGGGAAGTAGTGACTGCTGCCTTTTGTTCCAAGTCTTGGTCTTAGAATTTCAAATCTTTGCCCTAGTATTGTCAGTGAATTATTCCCACCGTTTTACTCTGGAGCCCAGTAAATTCATTTCTTTTCTGAGCTCACTTGCTGTAACATAATTCGTCTGTTTTGTGACCCTAGTGTGTATTTCATACTCTGCAAGTTCGGGAACTATGGTTTTTTTGAACCTACTTATCCAGGATAATGGTATTTGAACATTTCTTCTGACATTGGACGACTCCGTAGTCACTTTTAAGATCTTGTTCCGGGATTATTTGGCCGTATATCTGAGGTGCGTTTTCCTGACGATGTCAGTACCTGCAGGAGTGCATATACATGATAGTCATGTAGTCTTCACCTGAGATAGCATAATTAATTTACCAGCTGTGTTAAATTTGAGACTAAATTGGAATTCTCTTGTATCTAGCTAGGATTGACCAGTTTCTCTCTCTCCCTATTTGCTTGTTTCCTTGATTACTGAGTATATAGCATTTTCTGCCTGGTGAAATGTGTTGACCTGCTGGAGTAGTGGATCATTTGTTTTCCTCAAGAATCTCAGTGTTTCAAAAGTTGCACAGCAGCAGATCCTAATGTAGTTTTGCTTTTCTCTGACCTCGTTAGGAAGAGGTTGAAATCCAATGCATTCTTTGTAGAGCTCTTCAGTCATTCCACAGGGCTCTGCAGTCCTTGAGTCACATCAGCTTCTGGCCACATTGGCTTCTAGTCACGTCAGGGTCACAGTCTGTAGCAGACCTTGAGTGTGGAGTTCTCTCTTGTCCTGGATTTTCCCTCTTTATTTTTTCTTTCTTGTTTTACTTTCTTTATTATGGAGAGAGAGAGGGAGAGGGAGAGAACCGTGGGGGAGGGGCAAAGAGAGAGGCAGATAGAGGATCCTAAGTGGGCTCTGTGCTGACAGCAGAGCCCAATGCGAGGCTTGAACCCACACACCATGGGATCATGACCTGAGGTGAAGTTGGACGCCCAACCCACTCAGCGCCCCCAGGCAACCCTAGGTTTTCTGTCATTATATAATCAACCTCACTTTAAGATACCATTACTTCTTTTTTCCTCAAGAGAAAGTTGCATCTTCTTTTCTTTTATTGAAAACATGAATCCTACTTTTTTTTTTTTTTTTGCAGACAGAGTTGTTTCCCTTATTTATTCTAGTAGCTTCAACCACTACATTAACTAGAATTCTTAACCCTTTTAGTAAAAACTGATTGTAAGCAGTTGCAAACAGTCTGCTGTACCACCATCCATTAGACCAGCATATTCCTGAATACATTTCTTAAGTCCCAGCAATGTGTGCATCTTCACAGCACAATCTTTCAATAAAGCACAAAATGAGTTTACTATGAGACCAAAAAAAAGAATCTCAGCATTTCTGAAACCTTCCCCCTTCAGCTTTCTAGTTGTGCATGATTAGTTGAGGCGCTGAGTTCTCTTTTGATTTCTTTAAAAGAAGGTGTCGTTTTTCTATTGCCCTTTCCCCAGGAATGCCACTTTGATTTCTGGTTGATTTGTAGCCTCCACTGAGTCTTGTGACAAATTGGAGATAAGCTGCTTCTTTCTTGAGGTGCTCTGCACCCTGGTAATAAATAATTGCCTTAAAAGTTTTTCTTTTCCTCTGATTTTCTCCTGACTTACTCTGCTGTTTTATTTATTCATCTCTAAAGAAAGACTGAGTGACAGTAAGTGAAAATTTATCTTTTATGACCCTGGAGATGGATGGTGGTGGCAGTGGAAGAGATGTCACTTTGTAGTTTGCCACCTAGGATTCATTGAGACTTCACAGAGTGAGGTTGTTCCAGTGTGGTTGGCTTTTGAAAAAAATCCCATTTTGTTAGCAATCGTATAGTTACATATACTGATTCTGTAATCTGAAATTTGTCATTATCCTCTTAATGAAATTTTTCTCGTGTTTGCATTTGTTATGAAAAAAAATGAAAAGAAAACTCACTAGTATAACTTCTTGGCTTTTAGAAAATAGTAAGTTTGAAATTTAGGACGTATCTTTTACTGTTACCTGATTATATAGCTTTTTAGTATATTTTATTACTTTGGAAAATATGATAGAATTAGGTAGTCTTTAGATGAATTTAAAAAAAACACAACAAATTGTAGTCTGGGGTGCCTGGGTGGCTCAGTCGGTTGAGCATCCAGCTTTGGCTCAGGTCATAATCTCGCAGTTTGTGAGTTCGAGCCCCACGTCGGGCTCTGTGCTGACGGCTCAGAGCCTGGAGCCTGTTTCAGATTCTGTGTCTTCCTCTCTCTCTGCTCCTCTCCTCCCCTGCTCGTGCTCTGTCTCTCTCTCTCTCTCCCTCTCTCTCTCCCTCTCTCTCAAAATTAAACATTAAAAAAATTTTAAATAAATTGTCTAAAAGTTGTGTTTTTTTTATTTTTAATTATTTTTGAGAGAGAAAGAGAGAGAGAAAGAGTGTGAGCAGGGGACAGACAGAGAGATAGGGAGACAGGCTCCAGGTTCTGAGCTGTCAGCACAGAGCCCAACGTGGGGCTTGGATTCATGGATGGCAAGTTCATGACCTGAGCCAAAGTTGGACGCTTAACCAACTGAGCCGTCTAGACGTCCCTAAAAGTTTTTCTTAACGTGTTTGTAACTCAGAACTCATTGTCCCTCACAAACCATGTTGATAGGAGTCTTGAGGTTTCCACAGCAGCCTATTAATTCTGTTTACCTATAATTTACCTGAACTGTAATACCACTAATACCCAACCTAACCCCCATCTAAATTATATTTCTAAGGGGAATTGTGGATGGATTCTAATTTTTTCTATACGAGGACGGGGCTCTGTCTCCCACACCTGTAACCAGAGAGTGGGTTCAGGGCTTCCTTCAGCCTCTTTTTACCATTGGGGAAGACAGAAGTTTCCACTTTGTTCTAGATGGTTACTGAATGTCCTGTCTTACAGCTTTCTCCTTCCCCCTGTAGTTCTGTGCCTAGGGCAAGCCCTTTTAAGGTTCTCTGTGGATTTATATTCCCAGATTTGCAAGAAAGGCAGAAAAGGCTCATTCCACATCTCCCACCATACCCCCCCAGTGCCCACCTCTCCCACCCTGAAACCAGCCTTTACATAGATCAGAGATTTTCAAGTGTTTATATCTCCTCTATAGGGTACAGAAAATGATTAATATAACATGCTACTTTCATGAAATGTTTGTTTAATCCATCATTGTCTTGCCAGCTCTACCTCCAAAATATATTCTGAGTCTGTACATGTTTCACCTATTACCATTACTAAATCCTAGTGGCTCGGACCCAGTCAAAGCCAATGTCATTTTTTGCCTGGAACATTGCAGAAGCCATCTAACTTCATTTCCATTCTAGCCCTCTTACAATCTGTTCTCCAGATAGCTTAGCTTGTTTTAAAACATAAATCAGGTCATATCATTTCCCAGCTTAAAATGATCCAGTTGCTTCTCATTCTCTGGAATGATACACTGATCCTTTACCATGACCTACAAGGACCTGACACAGTAGTCTGGCCCCTCCCTCCTTCCCTCCCCTTGTCCTCATTTTGTATCCTGCTCCCCAGTGCATACTATGTTCTGGCCACACTTCTTCAAACCATCTTTGGGCCCCTGAACTAGCTGTGACTTTTTACAAGCATTCTTCCCTCATGGCTGGCTCCTCTCACTTGGAGAATCCTTTCCTGACCCTACCCAGTGTAAGTAGCCAGACCAGCTCACTGACACTCTGCTTTATTTTCTTATAACCCTAGTTTTATTTGCCTGTTTTCTTGGTTATTTTTGTCTCCTGTATTAGAATTTAAATTCCATTGTTCACTGTTTTTTTTTTTTAATGTCTATTTATGTATTTTGAGAGAGAGAGAGAGAGAAAGTGTGTGTATACATGTGTGAGTGAGAGGATGGCCAAGGAAAGAGGAAGAGGGAAAATCTCAAGCAGGCTCTGCACTGTCAGTACAGAGCCCAACTCGGGGCTTGATCCCACGAACTGTGAGATTATGACCTGAGCTGAAACCAAGAGTCAGATGCTCAACCAACTGAGCCACCCAGGCACCCCTCCATTGTTTGCTTTTATAACTCAAGCATCTAGAAAGTGCCTGGCACATAAGAGGCACTCAAGAAATATTTAATGAATGGGTGAATGAAGACTTTCCATTGCCATATCCCCCTTTTTCATTAATTAGCAAATTCATACACAGTGGTACGAGAACGTAGTAGTGGGGAAGGTTGGGTCCAATTGGCACCATCCAGGAAAACCGTATGAAGGTAGGAGTAGGAAGATGGAAATAGGAAGGTGAAGATAGCCTAGCAGCCAGCAAGAAGGTACAAACACTGGGGCTGACTGGTCGTGTCAGGTAGCTAATTGTGCAGCTGTGCCTCTTGCATAATTTCTGGAGTCCATCTGTCAGCAAGTTTGAAGCTAATATATAGATACTACCTGTGGCATATTTTATACTGTGATATACTTTTTAATACTGTGATATATTTTATAATGTGTATATTATGTTTATACTAATTTTCATATAGGAAAAATTGGTATATCTAGTAAATGCTCATTCCAGAAAGATAGGATTTTATTATATGTAAGAATCCCTCTTAGTTGATAACCTGTTTGGTTAATTAAAATATTCAGGGGCTCCTGGATGGCTCAGTCAGTTAAACGCCCAACTTCAGCTCAGGGCATGATCTCACGGTTTGTGGGTTCGAGCCCCGTGTCGGCTCTGTGCTGACATCTCAGAGCCTGGAACCTGCTTCGGATTCTGTGACTCCCTCTCTGCCCCTCCCCTGCTCTCTCTCTCTCTCTCTTTCTCTCTCTCTCTCTTTCTCTCTCTCTCTCTCTCTCTCTCTCTCTCTCTTTCTCTCTCTCTCTCTCTCTCTCTTTCTCTTTCTCTCTTTCTCTCTCTCTTTCTCTCTCTCTCTCTCTCTCTTTCTCTCTCTCTCTCTTTCTCTCTCTCTTTCTCTCTCTCTCTCTCTCTCTCTCTTTCTCTCTTTCTCTCTCTCTCTCTCTCGATAAATAAATAAACGTCAAAAAATTTTTTAAAAATTCAATTAGGAGCACCTGCGTGGCTCAGTTGGTTAAGCATCCAACTCTTGATTTCAGCTCAGGGTCATGATCTCGTGGTTTGTGAGTTCGAGCCCCACTCCTTGGGATTCTCTCTCTCTCCCCTTCTCTCTGCCTCTCTCCCACGCATGTGCATATGCTCTTAAAAGAAATAAACTTTATAAAAAAATTCAATTAAAGTAGAAAATGATTTAAAAAATGATTCATCTACTCCTTAATTGTTTTATTTTACCTTAAAGCATATAAACTTATGTTTTCACTAATCTTTTCATCTAAGACAGGTGTCAGAGAACTTTTTCTATAGAGGAAGGGCCAGATAATAAATATTTTTGATTTTTGCAAGCTATAAATTTTCTGCTGCAACTACCCTATTCTGCCATTATAGTGGGAAAACAGCCCTGGATGATATGTAAATGAAGGGGCATGGCCAATGTGCTGAATGTAGGAGTTTTTCTTGCATAAACCACCCATAATGCAAAGTCTACCAGTTTCTAGTTTGTTTCTTTAAAGTGAAATGAGGGGTGCCTGGCTGGCTCAATCAGTAGAGCATGCAATTCTTGATCTCAGGATTGTGGATTTGAGCCCCATGTTGGGTGTAGAGATTACTTTAAATGAATGATAAAGTGAAATGAGAACTTAGATGCTCATCAAACAGTCTTAGGGCAGACTCTTGCTGAATTTGTATGACTTTCCCTGCTTCTTTGAAGCAGGCCTTTGCAGACATCTCTTGAGTCTTTCCCCAGCATTCAGCTTAGGTTTTTATAGAAACAGCTTTTCTCTGTTGGCAGTCATATTTCATTGGTATTTATGTAATGGATATTAATTTATGTAATTACACTAGTAAGTAAAAATTGCATAGATGCATCTGGTAACAATCAAAACTGAGTCTTGAAGCTGGTGAGAGCCCAAGCGCATAGTCACTGTGGAGCAGTGGCTGTGAATACTCAGCGTACTGTGGGTACCATGAATCCAGTAAGTCAGTTAGGAAGAGATAGTTGAGAAGGCTTCTACTGTATTTGCTTTGTGAAGGTGTTTTGTTTTTTGTTTTTCTTTTTCTAGAGAACTTATAGAAATGCTGGCAATTTCAAGAAACCAAAAGTTGTTGCCGCCTGATGAGGAAAACCAGGTAAGTGGCTTCTTTTTAAATTACAAACAAGAGGGGCGCCTGGGTGGCGCAGTCGGTTAAGCGTCCGACTTCAGCCAGGTCACGATCTCGCGGTCCGTGAGTTCGAGCCCCGCGTCGGGCTCTGGGCTGATGGCTCAGAGCCTGGAGCCTGTTTCCGATTCTGTGTCTCCCTCTCTCTCTGCCCCTCCCCCGTTCATGCTCTGTCTCTCTCTGTCCCAAAAATAAATAAAAAACGTTGAAAAAAAAAATTAAAAAAAAAAAATTACAAACAAGAAATCCCCATTATTTACTGCAGTTTTCCTACTTACATTTACTTTGTTTGAAAATAGGAAGATTGAATTCTATTAAATTATTAATTACAACTTTTAAATTGATATTTTCTTTGAATCTCTTATATAAGGTCATACTGCTTAAGATGCAAATAGTTGTCTAAGGGTGAATAGCATTTTCTCTTATAGTTGTAGTTACACATTTATTCATTTTTGTCTTTTGAATTAACCAGCAAAGGCTTGTTAAATGGATATTAAAACAATATTTGGAATAAAGAAAGTTAATGCTCCCATAAACCTTTTATTATAGGCTTGTCCCCCTAATGCATCCTGAAAATGAATAGAAATAAAAGAGCATACAACTATTAATAGAAGTTATTTTGTAGATTTTAAGTTTATAGGTAGTTTTTATTTTTTTTATTCCTTTCTGTGCTTTGTAATCTTCTACAGTGAGATTGATTTTCTGACCCAGAAACTTTTTAAAGAAGAGGGTAAATGTCACTTTGTGTTTTTTTGCCATAATTAAAAAAAAAATTTTTAAGAGGAAACAGATAGGAAGAATTAGCCTATTTAATGATGTGAGACAGGAGAAATCTCTAATAGATCTTTTCTCTTTACTTTCCACCCCTTCATCATTTTAATTTTATCATATGTTTTGAGGGCAGAGAAATTTGGTTGATTGTCAATAGTGAAGTATCAGAAAACTGTTTTCTTCAAGGATTAATGCCCTCAGGAAGAGAGGGGGGAATTAGATAAGGCTACAGGTAGTGTAAGTTGGTAATTTTAGGGATATTAAAGTTGTTCTTTGTATATTGCTTATTTTGTTTTTAGGAAAAGCTTATAGAGAAATATGGTAATAAAAGAATGCTAGTCTCAGATATTTATTCATAAATACCTGTGAAGCCAAATAAGAATTACAAAATAAGCAAAATGAAATATAAGTTCTAACTTTACTTCCTAGGCAATTATATGCTTGCTATGAGCCAGGCACACAGATGATTCAGTAGGTCATAACTAACACCTGTCTTATCAGCACTAATATTTCTTACACTTTTTAAAAACTAACAGTTCTGTCCTTAAAAAATAACAGTACCTTGTCATATAAGGTTGTTGTGAGGATGTATTATACTGCATTCTTAAGTACACATAGGGAGAGCTTAGTAATGGTGGATAGTTATCATCACCACTCTGGAACAGAATTAAACGTTATACTTAGTACTGTGAATTTTCATTGAAACTGTTAAATATTAGTGTGATGTGCCCATTTGAAAATTTTCTAGCCTCCATTTTATTTGAATATTCGTATTTTCATGTATGTAGAATTTTACTTAGAAGGGACATTAATGGTCTTTATAACCTCCTGTGTTATAAAAGAGCTTGAGTTCCAGGGTGGATAAGTGAACTAGAGGTTGATGGATGAATAGAACTAGAATCGAGGTCTGACTTCAGTTGAATAATTTTTCTCTACTCAACAATAAAATCTCCAAAGAATCTTTACTGCTCTATGGTAGTATACAATATAGGTCAAACTGTAAACTTCTTGAAACGTGTTGTGAAACAACAAGTTGGTTAATAACTTTTTAAATATACTTTTATAGAAGTGGAAACCCTGCTTTCTCTTGTGACTTGAGAAAAATAGGGACTGTAGGTATATTAAGTAGAATATACTACTTTTTATAGAAGAAACTATTATTCAAAGTAAATACTTTTAATACATGGACAGAAGATACAGCTCAGTCTTTTGTCTGAGTCCTATAAAAATGAGAAGAACTTCATATCGAAAGGAACTTGAAGAGGCAGGTCTATACTTTTTACTCTTTAACAAATTTTTGTTAACAGTTTTAAAATTGATTCTGAATTTTGATAGCCATTTCCTTTCTTGAAGTATTATTCCCCACTTCGCACAGTTAAGTAAGGGTATTTAGGTAAGATTGCATCTTAATTCTGTAGTGGGGTAGTGATGATGATAGCTAGCCTTTATTGGGCTCTTCCTGTGTGTACTTTACATGCATTATATCATAAATCCTCACAATAACCTTGTGTGATAAGGTGCTGTTACTATATCCATGGTAAACGAAAGACGAGATTTGGACCCAGACTTTCTGTTTTATGCTTTTTAACCTTCATAGGTCAAAGGTTGTATCTGCATACCACCTATTTACTATTTTTGGAAATTGCTCTTTTTTAAACCATCTTCATTGTAAAGCAATACTATGAATGAAATCACAGGTTTAGTGTGAGTTTTATATATATGTATGTTTTAAGTTTATTTTTTATTTGTGAGTGTGTGTGTGTGTGTGTGTGTGTGTGTGTGTGTGTGTAGAAGGGGAAGAGAGAGAGGGAGAGAATCCCAAGCAGGCTGATCTCACAAACCGTGAGATCTTGACCTGAGCCAAAATCAAAAGTCATACACTTAACCAACTGAGCCAACCAGGTTCCCCATTTCTCTGTACATTTTTACAAACTTTAAGTTGCAAAAATTTTCTGTCTTAGCAACTTTCAAGTATACAATGTAATATTGTTAACTATAGACACCATTTCTGTACATTGCATCCCAGAATTTGTCTTATAAGCGTAAGTTTGTACCTTTTGATCATCTTCACCCATTTTACCCACCCCCACCCGTGGCAACCACCAATCTGATTTCTTTTTCTGAGTTTGTCTCTTGTAGATTCCACATATAAATGAGATCGTGCAGTATTTGTCTTTCTCTTGCTGACTTTTTTCACTTAATATAATGGCTTCAAGGTCTATCCTTATTGTCACAAATGATAAGATTTCCTTCTTTTTTATGGCTGAATAGTATTTCTCTATCTGTGTGTGTACATACCACACATTTTCTACTAGTTTGAAGGGATACATGCCCCTGGTGTTTACAGCAGCATTATCAACAATAGCCAAATTCTGGAAAAAGCCCAAATGTCCATCAGTTGATGATTGGGTAAAGAAGACACACACACACACACACACACACACACACACACACACACAGGAATATTACTCAGCCATAAAAAAGGAATGCGGGTCGGTTAAGCATCCTACTTTAGCTCAGGTCATAATCTCACAGTTCATGGGTTCAAGCCCCAAGGGGTGCTCAGAGCCTGGAGCCTGCTTTGGATTCTGTGTCTCCCTCTCTCAGTCCTTCCCCCACTCACACTATCTCTCTCTGTCAAAAAAATGAATAAATGTTTTTTAAAAAATTTTTTAAAAAGGTGGGGGATGAAATCTTGCCGTTTGTAACGACATGGATGGAGCTAGAGAGTATTATGCTAAGGAAAATAAGTCAGAGAAAGACAATTACCACGTAATTTCACTCAGATGGAATTTAAGACATAAAACAAGCAATCATAGGGAAGAAAAAAAGAGGAAAACCAAGAAACAGACTCTTAGCTTTGGAGAGCAAACTGACGGTTACCAGAGGAGTGGTTGTTAAGGGAGTGGGGATTAAGGAGGGCACTTGTGATGAGCACCAGACATTGTATGTGAAGGTTGAATCACTATATTGTACACCTGAAACTAATATTACAGTGTATGTTAACTAGCTGGAACTTAAATAAAAACTTACATACAACATGTCCTTTATCCATTCATATATTGATGGATAGCTTGCTTTCTATATTGGCTATTGTAAATAATGCTGCAGTGAATATAGGAGTGCAGATATCTTTTTGAGATAATAATTTCATTTTCTTCAGGTAAGTAACCAGAAGTAGAATTGCTGGATCATCTGGTAGTTCTCTTTTAACTCTTTAAGTAATAACTTCTATACTGTTTCCCACAGTGGGTTTCCCACCACTAGTGCATGAAGGTTCCATTTTCTTCACCTCCTCACCAACGTTTGTTATCTTTTTTTTTTTTTTTTTTTATTACAACTGTTGTAACTGGTATGAGGTGATATCCAGTTGTGGTTTTGATTTGCATTTCCCTGGTAATTAGTGATGTTGAGCACCTTTTCATGTACCTTTGTTCATTTGTATGTCTTTAGAAAAAGGTCTATTCATTTCCTTTGCACTTTTTTAAAAATTTAAATTAAATTTTTTTAAAATTCACATCCAAATTAGTTAGCATATAGTGCAACAGTGACTTCAAGAATAGATTCCTTAATGCCCCTTACCCATTTAGCCCATCCCCCCTCCCACAACCCTTCCCATAACCCTCTGTTTGTTCTCCATATTAAAGAGTCTTATGTTTTGTCCCCCTCCTTGTTTTTATATTTTTGCTTCCCTTCCCTTGTGTTCATCTGTTCTGTGTCTTAAAGTCCTCATAGGAGGGAAGTCATATAATATTTGTCTTTCTCTGACTAATTTCGCTTAGCATAATACCCTCTAGTTCCATCCACATAGTTGCAAATGACGAGATTTCGTTCTTTTTGATTGCCGAGTAATAACTCCATTGTATATGTATACCACATCGTCTGTATCCGTTCATCCGTCAATGGACATTTGGGCTCTTTCCATACTTTGGCCATTGTTAATAGTGCTGCTGTAAACATTGGGGTGCGTGTGCCCCCTCAAAACAGCATACCTGTATCCCTTGGATAAATACCTAGTAGTGCAATTGCTGGGTTGTAGGGTTCTATTTTTAATTTTTTGAGGAACCTCCATAGTGTTTTCCAGAGTGGCTTGCATCAGTTTTCCTTTGCTCATTTTTTAAGTCAGGCTGTTTATTTTGTATTTTTAAGGATACACAAAAATTTTATCTTTCCTGGGAAGTGAATAAACCTCATTTTGGCATATTGGTAGTTCTTATTTGCATGAAAGAATAGCATGTAATGAGAAAAAGTAAAAAGTCTTGATAATCTTTTTTCCAAAATAATCAGAAGTAGGCTATTTTTATTCTTAACATTGAGTAGAATAATACTTGGAGGTGTTAACATTTTATAGCCTAGCCAATTTACACGTAGACTCTTTGTTTCATTGGAATGTCACTTTTCAATATTCTGTTGTCTGCTTTAATCAATATCTGATAGGTCCTGGAGTTGTTAATTCACAGAGATGGGGAATTTCAAGAACTGATGAAATTGGCACTTAATCAGGGAAAAATCCATCATGAAATGCAAGTTTTAGAAAAGGAAGTAGAGAAGAGAGACAGTGATATTCAACAACTACAAAAACAGCTAAAGGAAGCAGAACAAATATTGGTAAGTTCATAGAAGAGGAGGTAAAAAAAAAAAAGATATTGTTTAATTATTTCTGAAAAATAAATCTGTTTTAAAGTATTTTGAATTGGCAGAAAACTTAAGTTCCTAAGTGTAAAAATGAGAACTTGACAGTTTGAATGAAAGGGCATTGTCATCCCTTTTTAACTTAATGTTTTAAGGTAGTCTGCATTACTTTTGAACCATATTTTCATCATTTAAAGATTTCACAGTGTTGAATTACTAGAACTAATGGAATTGAATTAATAGAAGTTGTACTTTTATCCTGTCCTGATAGAAGTTTTCAGTTATTAGTAATCTAAATCTTTACTTCAACTTTAAAAATATTTTGAAATCAGTAGAAATATGTACCAATTTTATAAATTGATTAAAACTGACTAACTTATTTCATCCTCCATTCTAAACTAGGTGGATTTGGGCATATGTCCCCAGGACTCTAGTTTTTGGCTACTATTTCAAAAAAGCAATTTCTTCGCTCATATTTACCCGGTTATTTCACTAAATACTAACTAATGTAATTGTTATATGGTGATATTACAGAAACAGCTGAGTTTGATTCTCATATTGACCAGACACTGCTGGAATCCTTATCCCTGATGAATCTTCAAAATGTGTCCAATTGGGCTCCAATAAATAGAAACCTGAGTGGTTCAGGGTAAATTAACCATTCCTGCTGAAAAAATGACCCCAAGTAAATGCTTTAAAAAAAAAAAAAAACCATAGTAAAATCTATTTTCCATTAGGAAAGTAATACTTGCTTATCAAAAGATATTCAGAGAATACAGAAAAGTAGAAAGAGGAAGGAAAAAATGCCGTCAGTCCCTCTGTGCTGTTATTCATAGTTTTTTGCTTTTCATTTCAGTCTCAGGTGTATTCTTTTATTTTTTTTAATTTCCCAGTAGGCTTATAATTGTTTTTTAAATCAAAGTATAGTTGATACACCATGTTACTTTAGTTTCAGGTGTACAACATAGTTTTTATTCCCCCTCTGAGGAATTCATTTTGTATCTTGTAATTAGTAGGATACCAACTGGTGTTCTATTACCATTTGTTAAAACTGAGGGATTTTTCGTATATTGTATCCATTTGGTTTAGTTTTCTAACTTACTCTTACAAAATAATACTTTGATGAATATCATTGCAAAAAAACTTTGTTTTTCTTCTGCATTTCAGATTATATTCTTTAGATTTCCAAAAATATAATTGTGGAGTTAAATACAGTTAACACAAGGACCATAAAAAGACTAAATTTTATGATAGGTAATAGCAACTAACATTGAGCACTTGTGCATCAGGCCTTGTGCTTGCTAGCACTTTAAATGTTTTAACTTAATTTTCTTAATAATTATGCGAGGTTAGTACCATTCCATTTTACAGATGAAGAAACTGAGATTTTAAATTGATAACTACTTTGCCCAGGGAGAGTGAAAAGTAGGGAGATAGAACTTAAACCTAGTTCTCTCTGTCTCCATACTCCTAACCACTGTGTTACAGTTAAAGATGCATATACATACTAGCTTAACTTCATTTTACCCTTTCATGTATCTTTCCAGTGGGAGTGGGGGGTGGTTGTGGGTGTTTTCATTATAGTAGTCATTAAGCTTAGAGATAGTGGTAATGTATAAATGAATAAGATCATCAATCCAAGAATGTATCTTACAAACTAAAAAAACATTTTGATATTTTATCCTTGAACCCGAATGCTCTTGGGGTGGTATGTGGTCAGAATCTCTTTTGCATGTTTGTGATAGAATTTGTGAATGGAGACTGATTCATGAACATATGTTATTTCTTTCATTAACTGATACAAATGATACCCACGTGTTTGAGAACATTACAGATAAATTGTGGGGATTTCTAAATTTTGCATGTTGTTCATATGGAATTAATGATTTTGTGAATTAGGCCAAAAACTGTTTGATATAGTTAAGAATAAACCGTATTTCTTTTTTTAATGTTCAAATTAGGCAACAGCTGTTTACCAAGCAAAAGAAAAACTCAAATCAATAGAAAAAGCAAGAAAAGGTTAGTACAGTGGGAAACACTGAATGACTTTCTGAAAAATCCCAAGGTTTTGTTTGAAGAAGCAGATGAAAGTATTAACTGGTAATCATTTGCTACTTTTGAAATGGTTCCAATAAATTTTTATTGTAAAGTGCTAGGTTCTAGCACTGAGCTGTGTATTACTGAGGAGACATCACACCTTTCTCAGGTTATAAGAAGCAGTAACATATGGCAAGTTACGACTTTGTATCCAAATGCGCAGTAATGACAATGAGTGTATAAAGTTGTTGGGAGAAGGGAAAAGAACTGTGATCTGGAAGCAAGTGGGATTTGAGATAGATCTTGGAAAAGATGGATCTTGCAAAAGTGAAAGAGAATGTGCAGTGGACAAATGGAGCAGGACTAGAGTGTCATGAAGTCAGAACTAGATGTGGCTTTGGGGTGTGTGCACATTTAATGGTGCAGAAGCCCAGCAGACCTTCTTTTCCTGTCCTGCTCCTCTCCTTAGAAGACTTCCATTTTGGATTTTTTAGTTTGTGTACTAAAAGTAGAGTTACAATGAAAATTTGGTTACTTTTTTTTAAATTTTTTTTTTTAATGTTTATTTTTGAAGGAGAGAGAGACAGTGTGTGAGTCGGGGGGTAGGGGGTGGCAGAGAGAGAGGGAGACACAGATCCAGAGCAGGCTCCAGGCTCTAGGCTCTGAGCTGTCAGCACAGAGCCGAACGCAGGGCTCGAACCCACAAACCGTGAGATCATGACCTGAGCCGAAATCAGACGCTCAGCCAACTGAGCTCAACCAACCAAGGTGCCCCAAACTTCGGTTACTTTAATGGTTTCGTAGATGATTTACCTTTAGTCACCTCAGAGTTGTCTAACTTTCTTCTTCTTTTCCTGTTTTAGATAACTACTGCTAATGTTTGGTGTGTGTCCACTTTTTTTTTTTTTAAAGATGTTTAATACAGATAGAATGGGAACAATACAAGTATATATGTACATATATTCTAAAACAAAAACCAGGTCATGCTATACATATTATTTAGTGGCTTGCCTTTTTTAATCTAATGAATGTATTGTGGATTTGTTTCTACTTAGATCTACTTATATCCTTAGTGGCACAGTAAGCCAACAATTGAGTGATATAGTGTGAACTGCTGTTCTAATTTAATAGCTTTGTCATTGGGAGACAAAACACTCTTGCCTCTATTTTCTTTGTGTTCACTGTTGCTTTCAGAACAGTAAGACTATTTAATGGTAGCTAATAATTGAGATAGTGAGCATTATCATGCTAATGTCCCAAGTTTGACACTTTGTCAGATGATTTTTCTGGACGTTTTGTTCTTTAGTTGGGAAATCTCTATGATTTAAGTTTAACAATATACGTATTATTAGCTTTATTAGGGAAGGTAGGTAACTCAGATTATCTTGTATACCGATAATAAAAAATAAAGTATGATGTGTGACTATGAGGCACGTGTTTATGCCCTTGTAAGTTACTAGACTAAGATGTTATGCTCTCGACTCTCAGGTGCCATCTCCTCTGAAGAAATAATTAAATACGCACATAGGATTAGTGCAAGTAATGCTGTATGTGCCCCACTGACCTGGGTTCCAGGTAAAATACTTCTCTTTTTAAAGTAGACATATGTGGTTTTAAATCTTAGGTGATTTTCACATCTTTAATATCTTAGAAGGAATAATATGGGCCATGGGTTTTATCAGTTTGATTTTCTACAAAGCTGTTGCCACAGGAACTGTGTTTCTTTCCTTTTTAAAGAAAAATAATAAATTCATGTTTAAAAGTACAAGATGATACGTGATGATGCAAAACCTATAGATTTATATGCCTGTAATACCCAGGTTGGCCAGAAGCCCACCTTTTAGAACAATTGGAGTTTCCTCAAGGGTTCTTGCCTTGGAAGCAGACAATTCCAGCTCTTTGGTGATAAAGATGAAGCACTGAGCACCCCCCAACAGCAAATACATGGGACTGGAAAGAACAGGAGTAATTAGAAACAGCAAAGAGCAATGAGCTGCAACATACATTGACAGTACATAGGACAGGGACCTAATGTAGAGCAGTAGTCTTCTGGGAGGAGTGGGAGATAAATCTCTCAACATCAGTAACTTGTGAATGGTATTTTACCAATTGCCAGTTTGGGGGGGTAAGTGATCTGGAGCGAGTAAGAAGTATTACCAAAAAGTCCAAATCTGCCAAATTTTCATCATCCCCAAACTAAACAGTATGCCTTCATGATTGGAAATGAACATTGGCTCTAGATACTCTCCTGGAAGGTTCTAGGAATTAGTCTTTAAATGACAAGATCAAAGAGGTTGGTTAGAAAAAGTTTTAATTTAGACAGTCCTTCAAATAAGCATTCCAGTCCGTCCTTTCTGTCTTATAAACAGAAGTGTGTCATGATCTATTTATTCTCCCTCAAGAGTATGTATCATTTGTTACTTTCTTACTAGGAAATGCAGGTAAATTACAAGAATCAAGACTGTTACAATTTTCTTAATTTGTCATCTGGAATTGCTAAAATGACAGACTTTTCTCTCTCTCTCTCTCTCTCTTTTTGTATAAAGAGTAGTATATTTCTATGCAGGTTCAGAGACGAAATGCATGTATTTTTAAATATATTATGCTCTTAATAACAGTTGATAAGATGACCTTCTTGTTCCAAAATTGAAATGTAGTTTGAGTTTTTCAGAGTGAACCGAGGAAAATCAATACTTCTTTAGAGAAGGTATCAATGCTTATTTTGTATATGATTGAATTAAAAGCAGTCTGTTTTTTTAGGGGACCCACGGAGACCATACCCAACTGATTTAGAGATGAGAAGTGGATTATTGGGTCAAATGAACAATCCTTCCACTAATGGTGTAAATGGTCATTTACCAGGAGATGCACTTGCAGCAGGCAGATTGCCAGGTAATGTTGATCAGAAAAATGCTTTCGAACAGACTGAGGTTTTTCAGACATGGTGATGGAATATCTGGCTGTTGAACAAGTTTGAAGTTCTAGACCCAAGTTGTTTTATTTATTTTATTTTATTTTATTTTTTAAGTTTGTTTATTTATTTTGAGAGAGAGAGGAAGAGCGGGAATCTCAAGCAGGCTCTGCATGGTCAGCATGGAGCATGACTCAGGACTTGAACTCAAATCGTGAGATCATAACCTGAGCCTAAATCAAGAGACGGATGTTTGACCTAGTGAGCCGTTCAGGCATCTGACCCAACTCATTTTAATAGCTAAGTTTTCTGCCAATTATCCTGCTCTCTGCTTACTCTAGTTTAAAGATTGTTCTAGCTTGAGTTTATGAAACTACAATAAATCGACTTTTCTCTCATTTTTTAATAGGTTATTTTCCTTGGGCATTAGGCCTCTCTTTTATTATTATGAGGATCTAAACATAGCTTTTTAAATAAAATTGTGAAATATGGTATAAAAACAGAATAAGAAATATATATGTTCATTTTAAAGAATACAAAGTGAACCCACTCCTGAAAAACTCCAAATTAACCAAATGAATAACAAAGCTTTTTACAGACTTTTTAATAACTAAATAAAACAGCACTCTTGTGTGACTCAGTTTATTCTGAATTTCATCCTTCCTCAAGTTTTGCGTATAGTTTTGAGTTATTCTTAACCTTTATTTATGTTCCCCAACGTTTATTTTTTGTAGGTGACTTTTGTTTTTTTTGGTAGAACATTTAATAAGTTTTAATAAAAAAGGTTATAAAAACCAAAAACTATGGGTTTTTTTGAGCAATCACTTTTAATATTTTACCTATTTCATTTTTTTCCTTGTATTTTTTACAGTGTTTAAAACATGACCTAGATAATGCTTTCTGCTTCATATTTTATTGTAAGGATGTTCCTTTGTTACTGAAAATGCTATGTAAACATCATGTTTATCTAACGTACAAACTGAGAACTCACTGTGCATTAATTTACCTTGATATCTTTTCATTTTCCTCATTTTGATTATACTGTATTATATGCCAGTCACAGCCCAGTCAGGAGGCAGAAAGGACATCAGCAGTATGAACAAGGAAAATTTAAAGAATTATTAACTAGTAACAAGATGATACTACTAAAGGGTAAAGAGAACTATTTTTTAAAAATACAGTAGTAATAAATGTGGGAGCAGCTGCTACATCTAAGATCAGGATAGAGTACCCAAGGAAGGGCCCAACTGAGAAGAGGCTCCTCCCACCCCCATCCCAAGGCTGTTTGTTCATATCATGGCGCCCTGGGTGGAGAGGGTATAGCTGTGGCCCACTGGCTGGCAGAGACGTTAGATGGATGAGGTCAGGCCAGAGCTGGCAAGCAGGAGGTGATCCACTAGGGTCGCAGGGAGCCTTGCTGGGAAGCCACCTTTGGCGTAATGTGAGACTTAACGCCACGGCAACTTGCTAGGTGGTGAGCACCACTTGATGTCCTGCACGCCAGCCAGGCACTGCGCAGTGAGAAGGAAAACATCACATCGGATCCCTTAGAGGCCTGTTCCCCTTGCAGAGTCCCTCCAGTGCCCTCTGCTGACAAAGATTAACATTGCAGCTGGTGGCAAAGGAGATGTTTTCAGGGTTCAGGGAGAAGAGTGGATTTAAAGCTTAACAGGTAGTTTAAACTTGTAATACTTAGTATAGTACATATTAGCTATTTAAAATCTACAGAGAGAATAGACAGAGAATGATATAGTCTGCATATAATTTACATATATATGCATATATATGAAAACATTTGATTTGTAATTGTGAATGTCTTACAAAAGAAAAATTAGTCAACTGACTCTATAAAGTTACTTAGATGGAAGCATGATTTCCTAAAAAATAAAACACAGGTTCTAGTTATTAAAATATCATGCTTTTCCTTGATAAATTTGCTTTTTCTTAATTTAGCCAAATGTATATTTTGATTCCTGGCCTTAAAAAGAATATTTACTTCAGGTTGTGTGCATGAAGGGAAGAGTAATCAAGTAGTAAATTAATAGTAGAAGTGTTGTTATATATGCTTTGTTTTCTCCAGATGTCCTTGCTCCACAATATCCATGGCAGTCAAATGACATGTCAATGAATATGTTACCACCGAATCACAGTAATGACTTTTTGCTGGAACCTCCAGGGCATAATAAAGAAAATGAAGATGATGTAGAAGTTATGTCAACAGACTCCTCAAGCAGTAGTAGTGACTCTGATTAAAAAACATAAAAGACAAAATTCATCAAAATTGAATACTGTGGAATTCTGTTTCTTACACAATAGCAAGCCTATAAAAAAAGCCAGGTAATACTGCCTATAGTGGAACCGTGCAGCCCATTAAAAATCACTGGACTTTCTTTTTTAAGCCAAAAATTATCGTTTCAGTTCTAAACCACTAAGTGAATATTTAAAGAATAATCAAAATTTATTGTTGGGAAAAAAATTACTCATTTCAGTGCTGCCCTATCCTGTTATGTTCCAGTTATGTTGGACTTGTACATAGTATTTCTGGAAATAAAAGTTGAGGGAAAAAACCCATGTACATATCACTAATCAGCCCCTGGAATTATTTAGAGAAGCATTTTAAATAAGGGCAGTGGATCACTGTGCATCATATCTCAAAATAACAAAACCCTCATTTGAAAGTGAAGGCTGGTAGCTTCTGTCACAGTAACGGGAAGTTGTCTTAATTTTACTGTCTGTAATTATTGTAATATGTGTAAATAAACATATTTTTGTTTGTACTCTATGATTTTTTTAAATTTAAATATTCCTTTAGTGTAGGTAGGAAATTATTTCTGTAAATCCAGTTTGATTTTATACATACTTAAGTAGAATTCTGGAGTGTGAATGAACATGATGTAATGCATTCAGCTGAACTAGTAATCACAACTGGTAGGTTTCACAAAGGCCCATAGTGACAGTCTCAGAAGAAATAAAATGAAGTTGTTGCTTTCTTCTTTTTTTCCCATTAGTCTTCCCACTAGTTTATTTCCTTTTTTTCCCTTCCCTTCCCTTCCCCTTCCCCTTCCCCTTTTCCTTTTCTTTTTCCTTTTCCTTTTCTTTACTTCTGATTTCCTTCTTTCTTTCTCCCTTCTTTCCTCTCTCCCTTCTTCCCTCACTCCCCTCACTTCTTTCTTTCCTTCCTTCCCTCCTGTCTCCTTCCTTCCCTCCCTCCCTTCCCCTCCTTTCTTTCTTTTCTTCCTTCCTTCATTTCTTTCTTTCGAAAAAACTTACCATAATAATGTCTGATTTTAAGACTAACAGATTGGCTGAACGTTTTTAGAATGGAAAGCACTGTCTTGTCTTCACCTTCCCTCTTACTGCAGTTTTCACAAGGAATCACTTTTAAGCAGTTTTAAATTCTGATGGTTAATCTCCATGTTTAAATAATGTGCTTCCACAACTACATTTTGATTTATTAGTTTTAGTGTACTTAAAAAAATTTTTGTTTCTGATTTGCAAAAGTAATACAACATCCATAGTGGAACATTTAGCAAGTATAGTAAAGAACAAAGAAAATAAAACTAACATTCTATCTAGAGATCATAGAAATGAACATTTTGGTTCTTTATCTTTTTTAAAGATAAAAGATGGGATGGATTTAAAAATCCACATATATATACATTTTTTTTTAAATGCGAATGTATTTCCTGAGGTGCTATATAGTTTTTAATCACATCCTTGCAATGAACTGCAAATTCGATTTTTCTAGCTTTTTTTCCTTTTTAATATTTAAATGAAACATGACCTATAGAAAAACATTTGTCTTCCAACTTTTGCAATTTCCTGGGAACAAAGTACATTTTTTAGAAGGATATCTTTAATAATACATGGAATGAAATGAGTATCCTAGTTTGGAATTCTAACTGAAAGTATAAATTACCTCACAGTTCAATTTCTTTACTTTTGTATTAATGTGAATCCAATGGCATACCACTATACATAAATTGCGGTTATAACAGTGTCTATTATACAGTATAATAAAATATTGGTTGTCTAATTAAAATATATATATATACTGCAGCCAAGGAAAAGAAGGAGGTGGAAAGGAGAGAGCTGAACCAAATAAGGCAAAATCTTGGTACCTGCTGACTCTGAGTATAGCGTGTATGGAAGTTCATTGTACTATTCTCTACTTCTGATATATTTGAAAATTTTTATATTAACATTTTTTGTTTTCCACATCAAAAGTTAACTTCATACTCTGGACCCCGTTATACGAGATGCCTTTGTTGCTGCCAAAGTTCCAATTCAAGGATGGCAGGCATGGAAAGTGTGGGAATCCACAATAGCAAATGTTCATTGATTCTGTTACAGTTCCTTAAGCTTTGAGATTTAGGCCACCTGTTAGCTTAGTTTGTTAGGTATGCTACAACAAAAACAGACTCATGACTTAAACGGGAATTTATTTTCACACAGTTCCAGAGGTTAGAAGTCCAAGCTCAAGGTGTAGGGAGGTTTGGCAAGTCTCTCATTGGCTTGCCTTCTTTCTGTGTTCTCATGTGACATCAAACTGCTATCTACAGACTCACCTTAAATTTATATATGCAGTTCTATGACCTCTCATCCAAAACCCTGGGGTCTAAGTGTATCTCACAATTTGGATTT